TTACTTTAGTGCCTACATGGGAGCTGAGCTCTTTTGAAAAATTCTGACCCTTTGATTTTCAGAGGGCTGAGCATCACAACGCCAGCGGAAGGCAACAGGAGCTGGACACACTCGGCACTTCTGGAAATTAGGCCCTAACTATTTGAATTCCAGTCTGTAAAATCAGGATAATACCTACCCCAATGTGTAACACTGGCAACCCTGGAAGAGAAGTGTTATAAAAGGGACAAACCTGTATTATTTATGATTATATCACTTATTAAAGAAGCACATCATGGCCGTTCCTACCAGTCTCGCAGAAATAAATGGCTGTTGGTATCTTGCCTTATGGCCTTTGCAAGTACCATATTGTTGTCACGTAACTTGCATTTCCAAACCGGTTTTCCAAGGACCTGATTCTGATTTGACACCATGCTAGCTAGCATTTACTCCTGCAGCAAAGGGCAATTAAACCAGCGTCATCCAGGTTCAAAGGAGACCAGCCTAAGGGCTAAATGTTTTTCCTACCGGAGTTTGACATTAACATGAACATATTTGATTGATCATTTTAGCTGCTCTTGCAACTCTGTTTTCTGCTCAAGGTTCAGTGACGCCAGGGAAAATGCCTCAGGAATCAGCAGTTGGATAGAAAGCTCCCTTGTTCCCCATTCTTGTGACCTTCTCTATGTCTTCATTGTTAATGGACCTGCATAATTCCTTAAGTGACCCTCCTGACCCCCACGGAGAGCCAATTGTTAGAGCCCAGACCCTAGAAGCTGCTTGGTACTTTCCAAGAAGGAAGAAGCACCTTCAATTCTGAATGAAGACAATGGGAGGTCAGGCGCTTAGCATCCTGCAGGACTGGGCCGGATTCTGTCCCGTGTTTGGCACTCTGGCAGCAAAACAACCTTTAACTTCGCTGCCTTGAAGAGACTTAAGCTTAAATGCTGTGCTGGACCTGAGCCAGAGTTCTCAGCGTCTTGCAGGCCGGAGCCCTCGTTGAGAATTGATACACAACAGAGTCAGCAAAAATGGTCTCTGGCAGCTTAGCAACAGCTACCCTCTCTTGTGACCACCCTAAAAAAACGAGTAGTCCTGTAGCACCTTAGAGACTAACAGAAAAAAAACTGTATCATGAGCTTTCGTGGGCATAACCCACTTCCTCAGAGGAGTGGAGAAAAAAAAGGGGGGAACCTCCTAATATATAACAGAAAAAGAAGAGGTCCCCCCTTTTTTTCTCCACTCCTCTGAGGAAGTGGGTTTTGCCCATGAAAGCTCATGGCACCCCCCCCCCTCTCTCTCTCACTGTTTTTTTAAAGTTACAGGCTACCCCTCTGAGACTTTTAACCACCCAGTGCACCTGCCACAGAGCTTGAGGGAGCTGCCAACACTACTATCTCCCCTATCAGAAAACAACTGTAGGTCCTTTTTTGTTCCCTACTTCTTTCAATAGATGATCTTAATGCTGTTTTGTCACCGAATTCCAGCTTCCTCCCCCACCCCCCTACCACATAGCAACATTCACGTTGTTGAAGCAAAAACACGCTTTTTTGTGTTTAGGCAGCTAAACAGCTTTATTAATTAATAAAGCACAGCATGAGCCAAACGTGGTCACAGCAGAGCCGGGCCCAGTAAGGCTGCTAATACAATCAATTCTAGTATTTTTATACCCTTAGCCAAACAGTCTGACGTCAGGGCATCCAATTACAAAAATCCTTAATTAAATTTGGAAAAACAAAGCCTTATCAACAAGATGGCGGACAGGTACGAGGGAGTACATCTCCTGTCCCAACCAGCCCAATTAACACATACCAATAGCCCATCCTGTAGGCCTCTTCTCACGGGGTGACAGAAAGTTCACTCTGGTTTACGTGCTTGAGAGAAAAGCTGAAATGGTTTTTGATATACAAGATGGCTTCTAGCTAAACATAAAATAGCTTCTACAATGTGTTGCTGAATCCTGGGAGAAGCAAGGGGAGAAAGTGACAGGACTGCCAATGAAGTAGAATGGCCATCTGCTACAGAGGGAGAAGAGTGGCACAGCTTCCTCATGACTGCAGCTGAGTGCAGTGGCTTTCCTTGACCTGCGCAGAGATTCGACAGAGCATTCTCCCCTACCCCAAAGAGGCGACGACGGTTCTGATCACTAGTCAGACCTGGCTTGCCTCTCATCTGGTCACCATTAACCTGCAAGAGATGGCAGGCTGTGAAAGGGTGGTAAAGGGAAATAAAATGCATGGAATGTCCCTGCAGATTTAGCTCTCTTAATCCCTAGTGGAATTACAGGCCCATTCCAAGTGCATTTCAAGTCAATGGAGTGGCTCCCGGTGACTTGTCCCAGCCCTAAATCAAGTAAAGAAGGAAAGTTTGGACAAAGGGGCATTTGGATTTGAATGAAGTTCTGATTGTAGCCTGGCTAAGCATATCTGTGTTAGCTTTGATCTAGCATGGGCTGGAAACCAGAATACAAGCCCTCCAAGGACCCTGGGTAAATACTTCCATTGGTAGCCCATGCTGCCATCTCTGCACCACTGCTGTTACCCGTGCTAGCGAGATGAAAGCTAACATGGGTATGCCTGCCTGGGCTATAATCAGCCTTTCCCTCTGCAGGGTACATACAGCCTCAGTGCTTAAACCCACCTTCACGTCTTGCTCCATTTCTTCTGGTTGGCTCCAAAGCAGAAGTAAGAGGTCAAGGAGAGTCTCAGGGCTCAATCCTGCCTTGAAATGAATGGGCGTTGAGGGTGCTCAGTACCTTGTACTATTACGCCCTTAGGGCCCAACCTGATGCCCACTGAAATAAATGAAAGTGGCTCTACCGACCCCGAATTAAGGTCTGATCCAAAGCCAAATGAAGCCAATGGAAAGACTTGTTGCCTTCAGTGGTGGCGAAGGGTGGGATTTTCAAAAGTGCTCATCACTGTCCCAGCTCTCATGCCACTGAAGGCAGTGGGGCTACGTCTACACTGGCATGATTTTCCGGAAATGCTTAAAACGGAACAGTTTTCCGTTATAAGGATTTCCGGAAAAAGCGCGTCTACATTGGCAGGATGCTTTTCTGGAAAAGAGTCCGTGCCAATTTAGACGCGCTTTTCCACAAAAGAGCCCGATTGTCATTTTCGCGATCGGGGCTTTTTTGAGGAAAAGAAATCTGTGCTGTCTACACTGGCTCTTTTCCGGAACAGTTTTCTGGAAAAGGACTTTTGCTCGAACAGGGGCAGCATAGTTTTTCCGGAAAAGCACTGGTGATTTTACAGTAGATTGTCAGTGCTTTTCCAGAAATTCAAGGGGCCAGTGTAGACAGCTGGCAAGTTATTCCGGAAAAGCGGCTGATTTTCTGGAATAAGTGGCCAGTGTAGACACAGCCTGGGAGTTTTACCTCAGCTTCAAACGACCAGTGCCAAAGGCCCCAGCGTACCACAACATGCTATACATCAGAATGTAAAAGGCTCCTCCAAAACCACCTTCGTGTATAGCGGTTCAACCTCCGCTAGGCCAGGCCTAAAACCATCACGCTCCCCATTATACTAACAAGCCTGCCACACGATGCTGTGACACTTGACTTGGCAATGACATTTAAAATGGTACTGGGACCCTTCCTAGTTGGGTGGTTTGGGTTGAGTCCATGTTTGTCTGGCAGCTGATGCTCCGGAAGGCATTTTCAGCCATTACCTCTATTCATCTGGAGCAGAACATTCAAGTAATACTCCCTTCTCACTCAGTGATATTCACCAATTGTTTGCAGCAACGACACCTATCGTGTCACACTGAAAATTGTCTACCGCATGCATATCGAACGGTCGCTGTGCTAGCGTGCAGACATTCTCACTGGCATCGGCTACTGTCGGAAGACAGGATACTGGGTGAGATGGAATACTGGCCTGCCCCACCACGGACATTCTTATGTTGGAGGAAACAGCAAACAGAAAAACCGAGCCCACACTGGAATCTAAAGAACTCTAAACTCGAAATAAGAGACGCAATTTGCGCTGTGCAAACTGCATATCTTATTTTGAATCTATTTGGAAATAGCGGATTTTGAAATTTGGCGCATCTATACAGCACCAACTTTCGAAATAGTGCGCTATTTCGGGCCATCCCTTATCCCTCGTGCAACGAGGTTTACTGGGACGGTGAAACAGAGTGCCCATTACTTTGAAAAATATTTTGAAATAATGGGCGGCTCGTGTAGACGCGAGGTAGCTATTTTGGGATACTATGCAGCATAGACATATCCCGAGAGATTATGGTATTGAGACCCAGGAGAAAGAAAAGCAAAGCTTCCAGGAAGGAAGGATGGTCTTATCATAGAACTGGATCGGGAGGTCATCAAGTCCAGTCCCCTGCCTTCACAGCAGGACCACGTACCGTCTAGATCAGGATGGGGGGGCTGCTGACCCACAGAAAAATCAGTCGGGGGCTGCACTCAAGTGCAAAGAAAAGTGAGAAGCCCCTGACTGAGAAGCAGAAAGACCCTCCCCACATTTCCCTTGCACACCAGAGCCTAGAGGGGCCCAGGCTAGTAGATTCTGGGTGCTTCAGTCCTGAGGGTGCGTGGCAGTGGGGCTGGAGCACCAGCACAGGCTCCCCAGTGCTGGATCCAGGGAAGCTGGGGGCTGCATCCAGCCCCTGGTCTGAGGTTCCCTACTCCTGGTCTAGAGTATCCCTGATAGATGTTTATGTAACTTGCTCAAATATCTTCAGGGACGGAGATTCCACAACCTCCCTGGGCAACTTATTCCAGTGTTTAACCACCCTGACAATTAAGAAATTTTTCCTAATGTCCAACCTAAACCTCCCTTGCTGCAGTTAAAGCCCATTGCTTCTTGTCCTGTCCTCAGAGGCCAAGGAGAACAATTTTTCTCCCTCCTCCTTGTAACAAGGAAAGGGAAGAGCTGAAGCCAGCACTGGCTGGGAACTGAACGCAGACCAGTTGCTTGGAAAGCAACTCCACTAACCACACCACTATCAAGACACCCTCAACAGTTTGTGGTTAAGGCACTAAGCTATGATGCAGATTTATGTTCAATTGCTCACTGTGACAGAGGCTCTCTATTGACCGTGACCGCTTTCTCTCTCTCCAAAGCACGGACATTCAAAAATATGGTTAGTAATCCTTCCTGGACTTGTCTTGTTTATAAAGATTGTAAGCACTTCAGGATCCGCTGTAAACTGTATCTGTCCCAAAGGACCGGAAAATCTATGTGTGGAGGTGGAAAAGCTCCTGTGTTTATTTACAAAATGTTGTCGCTCAAATAATTTGGGGGAAGGAAAATTCAATAGTGATTGGCATAAGGTCACAGTGAGTAAAGGAGTAAAAGGGAGCCTAAGGAAATGCACCCTTTATGCAGGTGTAAGGTGGAAGTTACTTTAATTTACACTATCTAAAAACTCTTTCTGGCCACTTGACATGGAAGTTACATTAAGTCAGACTCCTGTCACCAGAGTCTGAAAGCAGCGATGCTCGTGTAAATCTGCAGCCACTACAAAATCTATAGTCTAGGTGGTGCAAATGCAATTGAAATCTATCTCCTTTGCCACTTTGGAATCTATCTCCCTGACTCTGGCCATGTCTACACTGCCACTTTAGCGTGCTGTGTCTTTCTGGCTCAGGTATGTGAAAACCAACACCCTTCCCCTCTGAGTGCAGCAAGTTACAGAGCTGTAAAGCGCCTGGGTAAACAGGCTCCCGACGCTGGGAGCGAGGCTCCACGTGGAGGTGGTTTACCCAGAGCGCTGGGAGAGCCATGGCCATGCTTTCACTTCAATGTTTTAAGTGTAGATTGGGCCTTAGTGACATGCAACTGGCACCACTTTACACATCATCCCTGCCTTTCACCAGGGGTCAGTGAATGAGTCCTCTGCCATTCACAAGCTGCCTCTCCGTCTGGTGAGAACTGCAAACTGCCAGCTATTCTAGTCTCCCAAGTCGCCTTTGGGCTACTTACCCCTTGCGCAGAAGGTCAAACACTGAAAGAAAAGAAAAACAAACAAAGCGACCGGGGTAAGAGAGAAGGAATCCAATATCATGCAGACACACATTCCTAGAATGTTGCCTATAAACTAAACACAGCCCCAGAACCATTGAAATCAAGTTATTCCACCCAACAAAGCTACAAGGAGAATGAAAAGAGCTTGTTGGTTTCACAGAGACGAATGTAACGATCCCAGGCCAGCTCCTATGGGGAGACAACCGATGCTAATTTACTAACCTACTTCCCTCTCCTGGTTTCCAGACCCTGTTGATTTTCCCTTCTCTCATAACTGCATTGGTTTGGTACCACTGGAATATTATCAGCAGCAAAACACAATATTGTAGGAATGTGCAGCCTGACCATTAATGTGTCAGATTGGCAGGAAAGCTTCGTTGCTCTCCGCAGATAAAGGGGAGGCGATTTTATGATCTTGAAACAGGCTCTAGTTTGTACAAGTCTGGGTGTTCTCCAATTTACTAGGGGCCAAATCGTGGCCTTGCCGGGTAAGCAGCAGCACATTGTTGCACTCCCCCAGGAACAGCCTGGGGACCAGACTGTGACTCAAGTCCCAATATGCATTCCCATTCCCCACCCTGCTATGGGAGAGCAGAAGAGACAGGGAATAATTTGTACTGCTCTATAGATCACTGTCCCTACCCCACCAACACTGAGGAGGAGGAAGGGAGTGTTAGATCCAGGAAATCTGCCCTTTCCCCGTCCCATCTGCCCACATTCGAGTGACCTCGCTCAGCTCTATTCCTGGCACAGATTCCTCCCAGGGATGTTAAGAGGCGGGTAGTTCACTAATCGTGTAGTTGATAAAACTGGAAGAGCAACTGGCCTTTTAAAGGAACACAGCTTCATTTGCTGGGCAGGCCCCCCTTTGCAGGCAGCTTCCAAAGCCTCCTTTACTATTTCATGAGGATTATTCTTGTAGATACTGTGGCCGACTCTTTGCAGGAGTGTTAAGGCAGACAGGACACAAGGAAATTCCACCCTCCTTCCCCACACGCTCATTCCTTGTGCACATGCAGAAGACAGACCTGATCTCAGTCCATGCACATCACACTTCCAGCCACTTCTCCCACCTTTCTTCTACACTGGCTGGGTGCATTAAAGGCAGGGCGTTGGGGCGCAGGAAACACAAACCACACCCACTACAGAGCAGCTTCCGCTCTGTGCAGCTCTCCTAAAATGCCAGGCCTCCGGGACCGGACACTGGTGCAAGGCCCTTCTGCATTTTCCAACCTCTTAAGAGGTGTTAACATTTCCTAGGTCCCAACTCTATCTATTGTGATCAGTGCTAGGCACCTCGTTATGATCTCTTCTGGAAATGTACATTACACACCTTAGTGAGAGCAAGTATGGCTCTATTAACATATAAGGGGATACATACCCATGTACAGATTGTCCTCTGCTGGATCATCAAGTACCTAAAATGGATAGCACAGAGGCAAGGGAAGGGAAACACAGAGAGAGGGAGACATCTTTAATCCAATAATACCCGATAGTTACCCATGTTTAATGTTGAGCTGCAGGCTGTTAAACTCACAAGGCACTTGAATTGAAGTTTAATGGAATAATGTGTGATTTGCAGCTTTACATATACAGCTCTCTCCCCTGCCTTGATTTTGTATGATCGTAGGATTTTAGTAGGGATAGACTCAAACATCCCTAACTCTGGGAAATTGAGCTAACGACGTGCACATTACAATCTGACCCATTTCAGATGCTCTGCAGACTAGACTTCAAAAAACAAGACTTGCACTCTTGGGCCATGTAAGCACAATCACTGTACACACCCAGGGTCCTTCTCATGGATGCCACACTGTCGTGTAAGCCTGACAAGGTATATGCAAGAAAATCTACAATGCACCTATCTCCATGTGACCTACATGCAAAAATCAGGCTGGCCTTTCAGTCTAACGAAAGGAAAGGATCTCACGCCAATGTATTGGTTTGGGTCCTAAACTCCAGGACTGCCAGCAGCTGTGTATACCACCCTGTTGCAGTCTCTTTTGTCCACTGAGACACATTGTTTGCTAGCTGAGAACAGAGTGGCGTTTCCAACTGTAGTGTGTGCAAGCTTTGGTCTCATTGGACAGGTACTGCAATGTCATGACACCAAGGGAACTAAGCAATGGCCTTGCGTAAGTGTCATCACAATGGATTCAGGGTTCACCAAGTTCTCTATGGATGCCCATTGTTTAACTGAGTCAGCACCGCTAGTCACTAGTATACTTCCCTTCTTACCACATTGCCAGGATCAGAATGGGCATACAGGAGTTGTTATGGGGTCAGAGATCCTATTCAAAGACTCCCCTGCTACAGAGCAACTGCTCGCAATTAGAAACTCCCTGCGCTGGAGAGGATTTCTAAGGACAGAGAGAAATTTTCTTTAGTTTACCCTAGATAAATCTGGGCTGCCACCAATATTTGGGGAATTAAAGAAAACAAATTCCATGCATTCCTCTGCCTACTAGAGACGGTACGTACAAATAAAGATGCTATTTGCCCATGTCATATTAAGGTCCATCACCATACAGCCCTCCCCCTCTGCTCTTCCCCGCCCTACCCCGCACCCTGCCACACAAACACATGGGGCTTATCTACATACAACACTCCATCAATTAGTTTAAGGTATAATCATTAATGAAATCAGTTTAACTGCAGCAAAAGGCTGGGATCAGTTTAAACTAGGCTTATTTAGCTTATGTTGAGTAGGCACAGGTATAAGCTAAACCAAAATAACTGGTCTTAGACTGAATAAAAAACATCTACACAGGAGTCTGCATTAGTTTAATTAATCCAGTGCACGTTTGTGTGTCGGCAAGGCTGGTGCTCTCGCACTCGCACACAGTTGCTTAAGGATCTGCTGTTGATCAACTTTGACCTTGATCAAGCAAGCCCTTCTGAGCACCACTATGTGGAGTGTGGGGAGAATGGGGTTCTTAATTTATAAAGACAGACTGATTTTCAAAATCCCTTGGGGGATTTTACCTACCGATTCCCACTAACTTGAAAAAAAACAACCAACCAAACTTGCATGTAACCCATCTGCACCCTCTGACCTCTTTTCCCCCAACCCACTTGGACATACACACCTCGATCAGCTTGACAATGTTGACATGGTCCAGTTTCTTTAAGATGGCTATTTCCTGATAAACTCTATCCAGTGGTGCCATTGGCTTCAGCTGTCCACCAGAAGTTGCTTTAGCGCCTCTTGGGGGAGGTCGACCTACAATAGCAACCACAAAAAATGGTACTTTATTCCTGCTAGTCAGCACATGATACCTCACAGTGAATAGCTGTAGCACACTGGGCTTTGAATGGGTGCAGGACCTAAAGATATACGACCAGTTTGACAGACGTAAGAGCAGGGGTTGAATGACCCAAGAGAGGACACGCTGACAGTGAATATTCTCTGCCCAAGACAATGCCTGACTTTTATTTTCTCTTATCAAGTCAACTTGAAATGAGCGTCAGTGAGAAGAGTCAGCGTGGTTACTTAGGGGATAGGAAATTAGTTCTCCACACACCAAGTCCAACAAGGTCATCAGTGCTGTCCCATCAATATTCCTCCAATCTACGCTGGAAGGCCAACCAACAAGTCCCAAGCGTAGCTGGGCTGACTTATCCCATTAGCTTTCTAAGGCAGATGAATTGAGCTCTGTGTGCTTCACAGTGTGGACCTTTCAAGTGAAGCCTTAAAACTGAAACTCTTCATGAGCATTAAGGAAGGCATGGGATGTTTTCATTGCCCTGTGTTACCAGCCACAATATATCTGCCTTCTCCCCAGTTATTGTGATATGGCTATTCGATGCCTTCCACCCCTGAGGTGGCCACACAGTTTCATTTGTACACAGGTTTAGGCTTGTTCTGAATAAATGCATGATGCAGACAGGCATCATGCACATGATGGTCTGGTTTTTCTATTGTTACAGCAAACTCCAGTTCCCATGTCCTATTCTGCTTCCAAACCCATTAGAAAGATCCACTAACAAACAGCTTTAAGACCCAATCAGGAAGCCTCTCGCTAGCTTGAATGAATTATTCCACGAGAAATGACCAATTTATTCAGAAAGAAAATTTGGTTCTTGATAATAAAATTTCCCAGGGAAACACGGCGCTTTGCATTAGCTCCCATTCACACAGGGAGCCCCATCCTACAAGGGGCTGCGTGCCCACAACTCCAATGGGAGTTCAGAGTGCCTAGCAGGCAGTAAAATCAAGCCCAACGTTTTCAAAACATGACATTTAAAACATCTTTTTTCATATGAAGGATTGAACAAAAGCCTACTTTCCAGAGGAAGACGACAAGCCCGATAGGGAATCGGTCGTATTGATGTATTAGGCAAAAGGCCTCACCTTAAAACATTACGGCTGTGTCTATACTGGCAAGTTTGTCCGCAAAAGCAACTGCTTTTGCAGAAAAACTTGCCAGCTGTCTACACTGGCCCCTTTGAATTTGCGCAAGAACACTGATGATCTAATGTAAGATTGTCAGTGTTCTTCCGCAAATACAATGACTCTCCCGTTCAGGAAAAAGCCCTCTTGAGCAAATGCTTTTGTGCAAGAGGGCCAGCGTAGACAACTGAGAACCGTTTTGTGCAAAAAAGCTCCGATGGTGAAAATGGCAATTGGGGCTTTCTTGCGCAAAACCGCATCTAGATTGGCAGGGTGCCAAAAAGTGATTTTGCGCAAAAGTGTCCATGCCAATCTAGATGCTCTTTTCCACAAATGCTTTTAACTGAAAAACTTTTCCGTTAAAAGCATTTGTGGAAAATCATGCCAGTCTAGACGCAGCCTACCAGAGACAGCAGAAATGGACCAGCAGAGAAAGCCCAAGCTTTAGTTAGCAAGTTTTCCTCCTCAAAGTTTGAGTCTTAGATTTGAGGGTGTTTGAGTTACAGCAAGAGACACAAACTAGAAGAACAGATAAACTCAGTCTAGGTTACAACCCAAGCTCGAGTCAACAGTATGGGAACCTTTTTCCCTGGATGTCAAAAGTGCTCAGCATATTGTGAAACTCTGACCGCCCGTGTCACCCTCAGAGCTGCTTGGTGCTAAGAACTTGTGAAAATCTGGCTCCAATTGTGGATACTGATAAACTGGATTCAATGCTGGAATTGTCAGTATCCATAGTCCAGGCCAGGTTTTCAAGAACACTCAGCATGTTGAATGTCATGTGATGTTGAAAACGCAGCCCTGAGAGTTTTGCACACCTTTTGAGAGCCCATTTGAGCCTTTAGGCTCCATATTCTGTGCTGGACCACGGTGGGACAACCAAGAAAGAGCTAACTTCTGGATGGATGAAGACACGCAGAAGTGGCTTCAGATCACATCGCAAATTCAAACTGGCTTCTCCTGACACACTGACCCTACAGCACGCAAGAGAGAGGTGCCTGAAAGCCTAGTCAGATACCGCAGAGGCACAACAAGAAAAAGGGCTCCTATATGCCATACGAATACAGAGGTCAGTGTTTCACCATCTACGAGCAACACAGTCAGAGGATAGTGGCACAAAGGAGCAGTGAGGCGGGATACACCTATCTTCACAAAGCACTCAAGCAGCTTTGAAAGGAGGCCAGATTCCCTATACCTTACTCAGGCAAAATTTTCAGTGAAGTCACTGGAAATTCTGCCTTACAAATGATAGTAGATAGGGCCTGCAGAGCTTAGCTGTAACCTTGAAAAGCATGATACCTACGTGGAAATCCATACTGCTTCAACAGCTTCTTTTTGGAGAGGACTTTCATAGCCTGAGGGAAGAAAAAAGTATTAAAACGGAGCAAAGCTATGACACAGGGAGCTACACTCACTGCTCTGTCCTTGCAGTATTTGCTATACCTTAGCAATTAAAAAAAAACCTGAGTAGTCCTGTGGCACTTTAGAGCAGGGGTCTGCAACCCACGGCTCTCGAGCCAAATATGGCTCAGCATGGAATGAAATAGGGCTCTTCTCTCACTCCCAAAATACATGCAACTTTTTAAAATTAAAATGAAAAATTAATTCAAAATTTTAAAAATGTGTAATTACTCAGATAGCTTGAAAGCGCGCATGAGCCTGAATTTGACGAGATATGATGCAAACTTTATAGAAATGTGTGAAATGATTCAATAGCAGAAGTCCCATTAAATAAAGTCTGTGACTACAATGTTTCATTTATGCTGAAGTTTGATGATGTTTGGAGTTTTGGTTTTAAAAAGATTGCCTACCCTGCCTTAGACGCTAACAAAAATATATAGATAGTATCATGAACTTTCATGATCAAAACCCACTTCCTTCCACTCTACTCATCTGGGGAAGTGGATTTTGCCAACGAAATCCCGTGATACTATATATGTTAGTCTCTAAGGTGCTACTACAGGACTACTCTTTTTTTTTTTAAAGTTACAGACTAACACAGGTACCTCTCAGACTTTGCAATTCAGTTCAGCTATTAGTCTGGCTCTCCAGTTTTCAGACCATTATCTCAAGGAGAGAGAGCTTAATTAGTAACAGACACCTTCAAAATACACGAGATACAAGAAAGAATGCATTATTTTCCTTTGGTTATATAAAAAGTCCAATTTTACCATCTTTTTACAATACAAAACTATACTTGATTCATTTATCTCAATCAGAGAAGTAAAAAGAGGGGCCGATTCTCAGTTACTCTGTGTGGCACAGAGCCCCCCCCTTGGATAAAGTCTTTGCGAACATCCCTCCTCTCACATCTGAGACACTCGCTACACCACAGATGCTGTGTGGGATATTCATCACTAAAAAGTAATACATTAGGGTATGGCTATACTACAGAGTTTTGTCCGTTTTTCCAACAAAGCTGTAATTATGTCCACACTGCAACTGCGTTTTCAAAAGAAAATCGAAAGAACAGAGGGGTTTTTCTGGCATTGGTACTCCTCTTTTTACGAGGAAGAAACCTTTTTCCGCAAGAGCTCTTTCAGAAAAAGGTGTGTGTGGACAGGGAGGAGGGTTTTCTTTCAAAAGAAGAGGCCTCAGGAAATAATACAGGTGCCCTGGCGGACACTCCATCCACAGTAATCACAACTCTATCGTTCCTGTCTTCTGGGCCCTCAAAGCTGAAGGCACCCTGGACAGGTCTTGTGGCAGGAAGCTGGCCTGAAAGCAGCACCCTGACTGTGTGGCTCTCCCTGCCACAGGCCTTGCTAACCATGGCGGAGCCACAAGGCCCCCAAGATCACAGGGTGCAGCTACAGGGGTCCCAGGACCCTCCCGGGGGACCAAGAGGTGATTACCCTCCTGGCCAAGAGCACAGATCCTGTCCCTCCTCGAGCTGTTGAGCGAGGAGGAGACATTGAAGGATCTCCGCTCCAAGCACCGCAACGCGGACATCTTCAAGCACATGGCTGAGTTCCTGGCAGAGTGCGGACACCCACCCTGGATCTTGGAACAGGTCTGGAGTAAAGTCAAAGAGCTCCATCAGGGATACGTCAGGGCCAGAGAGCGCAGCTCGCACTCAGGGGCAGGATCCAGCTGTTGAGCGAGGAGGAGACATTGAAGGATCTCCGCTCCAAGCACCGCAACGCGGACATCTTCAAGCACATGGCTGAGTTCCTGGCAGAGTGCGGACACCCACCCTGGATCTTGGAACAGGTCTGGAGTAAAGTCAAAGAGCTCCATCAGGGATACGTCAGGGCCAGAGAGCGCAGCTCGCACTCAGGGGCAGGATCC